AAATCTTATCTAGTCTTAATGACATTCTCGCAAAAGTAGTTGGACACATTTTTGATGCCAAAATTACATAGCATAATCTAATAAATTTTAGTCGTACCTTTAATTACAATCATATTTTAGAATTAACTGCAAATTCAAGAATTTTATTAAAATGTTACCTAGACACACGAGTTATTAAGAGAAGTAATTAAATTAATTAAATGCTAGAATTATCAACGCATAATAAATTTTATTATGCACTTTTGTGTATGTATGAATATCCACATAAAAATATTTTCACAAAATATTAAGAAGTTAGTGCTTAGTCTAAATTTAGTATATTTAATAATTTTTCCTAGGTGAATGTTTGATGCAGCTTTGTAAATTTCATAATGGTTTCATCAAGAATGTAAATTAAATCAGCGTGTAAGTAATGAATTATGTGGAATTACTACTAACCTTCTCTAACCAAAAACTACTTTACAAATCCAAAAAGAAAATTGCCACTTAAGAGATCAATATTAATTTTCGATGATTATTAAATTTTCATCTCAATTTTATCAAATAAAAGCACACAATTTAGATTTTATACTACTCAATTTAGATTTCTTTTACTGCCTACGAGAATTTCTACTTTTTTGCAACAAAATTAGATCACATATCACTATTAGAATGTCAATCAATTGCAATTTTGCATTACTTATGTAATATGAATATTGATAAATCATTTTTGTACACTACTATGAGATTACATATTTAGTCACCACTATGAGATTAATATATTTATTTTCTATTTGATTCAATTTTACGATGTGTTTATACAAAACAATAAGCGAAGGTTATTGACTACAGGAAAGGAGTTCTAGTTTGATTAGATATTAGTATATAAACCATATAAGAAGACTATCAGGTACATTCTGCCTTAAATTAGGCCAATGTTATGGCAAGGTTATGTTACGTAACATTTTTCATATAAAGTTATACTAAAAACTGTCACAATGCTATATATTTTCTGTGCAGTAGGCGTTTTACACATAAAATGATTCGTGCGTTATTATGCCACATGATGGAACACAGTCATGTATAAAGATGCACTTATGACAAGATTTTTTTATATTTGTGAGTTTTCTAGGTTAAGTTTTCAATTTGAAACGCCTGAAAGCACAGCGACTACATAGAATTTTGACAGTTTTTAGTTCTACTTTATACGAAAAATGCTACATAATATATAAGCCTTGTCATAAAACTGGTCTATGGTACGGCCCATATGTATTTTTGTTGTCAAATTAAGAATTTCGGAACTGGCAACTTTTATATATTTTCTTTTGTTGTTTTTGAGCAGCAATAAGAATCTAATAGTTCTATAAGCTGTTGTGCTAATTTTGACTTTATGATAGAGACGTGAAAATCGTTGTCACTGATGCCTGACAACAGACTGCTCGAAGTGGGTATCGAACCTAGCTTCAGAATCAGAGTCCCGTCGCTCTTAACCGCTTACCTAATGGCAAACCCTACAAATTTTATATCAACTTTAAATAATTTTATTTACTCCTCAAATATTTAAAATCCGCTTAATCATCATATGTTCCTCATTCACATTACAATATTGTGTGAAAACACACGTGTAAAATATGCTAGGGTGCATAACAAATGAAGACGCAACGCCTTAAACCTTAAAGCAAAATCTTAGAGGTGTGTCTGCCAAATGCGCCACACTTATTATTACTTGCGTTCAGCCAAGGCGGGCCACCCCGTAAAGTTTGTTTAAATCGAGGCAACTAATTGATCAGGCGTGGTTTGCGGATCAGGTTACCCGCGGCTCCAATTTAAAATACACCGACGGTAAATGTTTCCGTTTTGACAAGGGACAGACTATACATATGTCGGAATATACAATTTTTGGGCTTTGAGACATTTGCAAATTTATTCAGATTAAATGATAAATAGAAAAGTGTTCGTTTATAACAGCTGAAGAGAGGTCACATTGAACCCAATAACGTTCAATTTTACCTAACCAGTTAACTGTGAATGCTGAAATTCAAAACCGTAATCACGTAAATTAGCTCCTCAGTAATAAATCAAAACTATCAATGTACAATAAAATTTTATTATACAAGGTATACTCAAACCAGTTTGGATATATAGCATCCATCTATGGGGTGCTGCTAAAGTCGAATAATGCAACGGTTTCAAAATAAAATACTTAGACAAGCAATGTCCGCGTCAAAATATGTACCGACATGGTTGATTCATCAAGACACTGATACTCTCCCTATCAGAGAAGAAATCAAAAGGCCCTTAACTACAAATGCAAAAATGACCAACATACAAATGAACTGATAGTGAATCTTTTTGTGAATAGTATATTGTACAACACCATGTACAATATATATTGTACAGTAGTATGTGTAATGTACTGTGTTTATAATTGTATGTATATATATATAAGAGTATCTTTTTTTTCCTTTATAATACCAAAACTAAATTTAGACATAATTTAGTACATTAATAGAGGCAAACCACTAAGTTTTCCTCTTAAAATTCTATGTTATTTATCTATTTAATCACTCAATGTCTTTCTAAATAAACAGATTATAATTTATAAGAAAATAAAAAAAAGTCAACTGTGATTGCCGAGTTCACTCGTCACAGAAAAGTGGTAAAACTTTGTGTATTAACGAGTATACTTATGATGGGTACCTATAGATATGTGACTATTTGCTATTTAGATTGTATTTTTGGAATTTTCAATATTTTGAGATTTTGAGGCAATTCACCTTAAAACAATATTTTACTTCGATTCTGACATTACAAAACTGTGCACACAGTTGACTTAAAAATAGCGAGGACACATAGACAGCGCATTTGTCTAATATTAAGCATATCATTTATCTTCTATAAGGCAAGATATTAAGAACTATGATCAGCTAATATTAGAGGAAGATTAGTTATTAGTTAAAGCATTTAAATTATTATATTGCATGTTGATATTAAATTTTCCTAAAGTAACTTAGAGAGTTCTGGACAACATTTTTAGTAAAATACATTTCAATTATTCAATTAGATTATCAGTGTAGTTTCTTCGCGACCATATTTATTATTGAAAGTTTCTTGACGACCCCACACATATAAAAAAAAAATTTTAAGTGATTCATTTATTTGGTAAGAATACACGTATACATATGAATATATATGGTTTAAGAGTTCGTTGCGAAATATACAAAAATCTAAATGTGATGTTATAAAATGATATAAATATTTGACATTAAAATTTTTCGCGACCTCAGAATTTTCCTATTTGGGGTGGCGACCCATAGTTTAAAAAGCCTTGCTTTAAACAATTTGTACAAAATAGATGCAATAATGTTATGTCAAATTTTCACAAACAAGGACGACATTAAATCTAATGCTTCCCGAAGTTGAAAGGTATTGAAACGAATTGTACCGATTTAACACGAGGCACGAAAAATTACACAGCAATTTCAAGCAATTATATTAAATATTATAATTAATTATTATATATATATATATATTAAATAATATAGTAAAACAATGTATTTTATATTTAGAGATTCAGCACTTACCTTTGTAGGATGGACAAGCTCAAGAAGAAATTTCACCATTACATTCGTTTTGTTCGTACACCTCCTTACAGCAACATTATCACCAAGACTAATCACAATATTTTAAACAACATTTTTACTCACAATATACTGACTATTACTCACAATACACTAATTATTACTCACAATACACTAATTATTAATCACAATACACTTACAATAAGCACACGATGGATTGATATCGCCTAAATTTAATAAATGAAATGACGCCATCCGCCATGTTTAGCAACTTCTTCAGTTTTGATACCTGAATGACGTATTTACGCAATTGTCTTCTTTGCACAAAGCACCAATAGAGGGTGTTATGTATGATGTCTGCACATTGATAGTTTTAACAATGACATTTAAAAAAATATAATTAAAAATTCATTTTATACTGCAAAGAATTCATTATTGCACAGGCATTTCACAATAAACTAAACAAATGTGATAGAAATATAACTTCTTTAAAAATAGTCTTTTTGAAGTAATTTTATTCCAACCACGCCATCTAGCACTTTTATATGAAGATTTGCTGCAACTGCATGTATATCGATATTGAATCATCTGTATCGATTTATCAATTGTGAAAAGTTGCTTCTCATAAAACAACTAACTTTGTAGTTTTACTTGGCATTCAAAAGGGCAATTATGAACAAAGCAGGAAATGAATTTTATTTGTCTATTCTAGCATTTCTCAAGAATTTATTGGCATTTAATAATTAGTTTAGATTCAACATACAAAAGATTTTTGATACGATTAGAATTATATGTTTAATGTACTTGCAATAAATATTGAAATTCACAAAAGTATTTGTAATAATTAGTTATGTCAATTTTTTTAGTTCAATAAACCAATACAAAATTTGTACGTTTTTACTCCTGCTATGTTATCATAAAATATATTAACAACTAGTGTACGACAGCATCGTGCCTTGAGGCTAATTGCTGGAACTTCCCGTACCGTAACAAAATAAACTAGAGGAATATTAAGTGTTTTCAGATAGATTAAAATAAATACTGTAACATTGTCTAATATTTATAAGAATTATATAAACTGAACTGCAAAGTAAAAATTGTATTTTTTAATTAATTTTGAGTGGAATCGAAAACTATTATTGAAATAAAATTTAGATTTTTTTATTTGAATAGCTGAATATCAATTCTTGTTTAAGCTCATTTTTGCTATGAAGTCATGAATCAAAATGCCACTTGCACTTAGTTTTTAAGATCAGACCAGAGTGTTAAATCCAAATGAAAAATTATTGGCAATATTTACTGTAAAGAAATTAGTAAACCACAAAAACAAAAAAATAGATTTGAATGTTAATATCAACCTTTAATTACAACAAATTACATACAAATATTATAAAGGCTGCAATTTAAAGCGTAATATATATAATTATCACATGCTAATTTGCACGGCGTTAAAATTTATAAATATATAAAATATTAGGACTAGTAATGCAATACCAAAATTCAACGGTAAATCATTTCATCATTTCTTGATCTCTAAAATTTGGGGATAGTGTTTGAGAATTTTGACTAATAAGCATTCAAGATAGTTTTTCAGTTGTACATTTTCTTCTTGGATGTCTGTCATGGTAAGATCTGCTTGTTCACTGACGAAAGCTTCTAATTCTGCTGCTAAATTGCAACTGTCGGTGTCACTATTTTGGCAGCTGCAGCATTCTCGGGTTTCTTCATGTTGATAACACAACTGAAAATAGTAATATTTATTTAAAAATTATATGATAAATCACATGAAAATATTTTATTTTTAATAAAACAATATTTGCTTACTGGTAAGCAGATGAATAACACAAAATTTTTTCGTTTGTATTGAACAATAATTATCCCAATCTGGACATACGGAATTGAGCTATGGGCGTGCGCAAGCAATTCAAATATAAAAATAATACAAAGAGCGCAATCGAAAATTTTAAGATATATTGTGAAAGCACCTTCGTGTATTACAAATGACACTCTATATAAAGACTTAAGAATAAAAACTTATTGAAGTAATAGAAAAAAGCAAAAAATACCACGAAAAATTACCAGGACACCCATAAAAATAAAAGATGGAAGTGAAAAATCTCTTACTCAAAAATTGAAAAAAAATGCCATACGGTCTTAAATAAAATGTCAAAAAAGAAAAAAAAGATCTCATAAGAGAATCTTTATAAATGCATTTACACGCAGCATATTATCTTAATAAAGTATATTATTTTGACCGACAAAAAATCTGTGAAAAACAAACTCACAAATTCAAGTAAAAATCTACTTTAATTATATAAACATGATAAAAAGGTTTAGATGTTTACCTGTAATTCTTCGTTAGTTTCTTTCAAGGCTCTATTTTGCTGGCGTAAATCAGTAATTTCAGATTGAAGATACTCCAAACATTCCTCACTATCACGCCTTGTTCGCATTTGGCCTATCGTTTCTTTCAAATCAGTTATTTCAGCTTTCAGTACACTTTTTTCATATTCACAATCGCTTTTGTATTTTCTCAACTCTTCGTTGGCTTCAAAAATTTTTTTGTTTGCACTCTGCATTTGAGTTGTTAATTCCACTCGCATTTCACGAATTTTGTCTTCCAGAACTTTTTGATCTTGGTCTTTTCTTTCCAATGCTAGACGAAGATTTCTATTATCCTCCTTCAGCCTATAAATAGAAATAATATTATAAATAACATGGAAAAACGAACATTCAACAATTCTTGCAAACAAAAATTAAATTGAATATGTTGATTTTACTACATTTAAAAATGTAGAATTCATATTTAAAATCATATATTTTAAATCAAATAAAATACAAAAAATCTGGTTTGACTATAAAACTATTTCATTTTTTATGAACTACGGGCTTTTTCTTTTATTTAAATAATAAAAAAAACTAAGTAAAAGCATGTAAAAACATATTTGAAATTGATTGGAGATAATTTAATAACATTAAAAAAAATAGCAATTTTTTCCATGGTTCAATAGCGTTTAGTTCTGTTTACAATGGACCACTCTACTTATTAACTCCTGAACTGTTACTAGATATTTTTATTAGTATATTTACCTTTCATTTTCCTTTTCCAAACTCTGTAAAGATATAGCTTTATTTTCAGTCAAAAGTTGTATTTCCCTTTGCATACGATTTTGTAAATCCCTGTACTTGCGTTGCTCTTCAGCAAAACGTTCTTTGAAACGTTCCTCATTTTCGATCAACTTATCTTCTAAATTCAGGACGTGGCTGTGCAATACAGCCTTTTCGGTTTTAGATTGGTGCCGTCTAGAACAAAAATACAGATAAATATTACATAAATATTAAATGATACATGTAACTAAGATTTAGTATTTTTACCTCTGATCAATATCCATATGGGTAATCTTTTCCTCCAAAGCGTTAACTTGGTACGTCAATTCGTGCAAATTATCGTCAAATGATAAGTCCATGGTGCGGTTACCGGTCGAGCTACCTCCTGAAGAATTAAAACTGAGTGATCTGAATAATTTTGCACCGTAAGGTCGAGAACTCAAAGGTGTTGTAAGTCCGACACAACTGCGGGAACGATCGGAAGCTTGGATGCCGTTGATTTGTGAAGACATATCTGTAAAAGTGGAATATTTCGATTAATATTTATTGGTTAATAGGAAAGAGTGGGGTTGTTTATTTGGTTTACTCATAGGTCCCGATATATTGTATCTAAATTTTACAAATATACCTATGGCATTGTCAACCCTTTAACAAGTGAAAGTTCACAAACACGTGCCAATACAGGTAGCGGTACCTGACAAACAAGTAACTGCGAGTTTAAGCATGTCTCACCGCAAAATTGTAAACATGCTATTATTGCTTTGTATAATAATTGTTATCGAATAATAGTATAGTGTTGAAATCACCGTCAACTTTACCAAAACAATATTACTATGACTCAATATTATTTTGGCTGGAAATGTGCCTGTAAGTGCCTTTCACGGCATTGTTGCATGAAATTTAGACTTATTAGCGCTAGAGTAATTTTAATTTAAGTAAAATTATCACAAAACTAGTGGGGCGCATGGCTTCGTGCCTTAAGGCAAATTGCTGGAACCTCCCGTATCGTAATTAAAAATCTTGGTGCAAAATTTACATAAAATGTGTACACGTTAAAATCTTTATAAAATCTGATAATTTCATGTACATATGTCCAATAAACATTTTTGTCCGCCAAATGACATTTTTTTAACTTATTTTTATTGAGAGTCCATAACCGCTGGACCTGCCTCCCCAAAAATTTAATCAGTAGCTCAACTTGTCAATGCTATTTTAAAAACTGATTTACCGTTTTTGGCACTTTTTCCCCGTATTTTCGGAACGGCTAGACCTACCTTCGTCAAAAACTTATCAATACGAATCGAATTAATCAAATTTGAATTATTCAAGTTGGTGTTCCCAAAATCGTCGACAAAAATTTGCATCCCCACACACACACACATTATTTACATGCCAAAATCTTCGGAACGGCTAGACCTGCCTTCACCATAAACTAATCAGCACGTCTCCTCATCAATACGAATTGAATTAATCAAATTTGAATTATTCAAAACGGTGTTTACAAAATCGTCTACAAAAATTTGTATTTATGCACACACACAGATACATACATTATTTACATGCCAAAATGTTCAGATATCTCTGAAACGGAAAGATATATAAAAAATTTCATATTCGATTTTTTGCGATTATTAAATATAACTTACCCTACGGAAAGATATTGAGCGGACACAAGACAACCATTGGGTTGCTTCTTAATACAGTTCAAAGGATTAAATTTTAATTTCTGTTCGTATAAAAAATTTAAATTGGTTTAAAATAATGCTTTAGTGTCTGGCAAATAGATTTCGTATGTAAAAATAAAAACTTGCAATGACAAATTATTTTTCTGCTACGAGATAGAACATTTGTAAGAGTATGTTCAAGAGCAGTATGTTTTCTGCAATTCATTCAAAAATCTAAAAAAAGGGAAAAGATTTAAAAAAAATTAATGAGTTAATGTTTACATCTGGTCCAAAAATACAATGCAAAAATCAATCATTTTGAAAGCCCTTTTTAAATTAATTTTTTGACGTATTATAATAATAATTGAATCGTTTGAAAATATGGAATCACGCATTATATACCTATTTTCTAGTTCATTAACTAATACAAAAAAAAATTAAGACCTAATGTAATGCAGCTACAAAAATGTATGTAATTACACAAGATGTAATTGTTTTAAAATATTTACCAAATAAATTGAATATATAAAAGTGATGACAGTAATAATTCATTGTAACCTTACTGTTCTTGGTTATGTAACAATTTACAATATTTACGATAAAGTATGGAAGGGTAAGAAGCAAATTAAGGAACTAGATACTAATTGCAACTAATAATAGCTGATGTTTTCAATAATGAAATAGTAGTCGTTTAGAAATAGAATCGAAAATGAAGTATAAATTAAGAAAGATTCGGGCAGAAATTAATATGAAAAAATCTGTTCACACACACACGCACACAAACACACGCACGCACACACACACATACATACTTTCTCCAAATTTGGTCTCATTTGATTCAAAATGGCTTGAAACGTCGAGAAAACATAAAATTAGCGAATCGTATTTTTTATGAAAACAAACTTCTTCTTCGGAAAGTTTATATTGATAGGTTATCATAACAATAGAATTAAAATTCACGATCTTAACAACGACCAATCATTTTACATACTAATATTAAAATTATAATATTAGTTAAATATAAAGACGTTACATAATTCTGACTTACCACTAAAAACGTTGTCAAAATTTATCTGCAACACCCTATGAATATATTCGATTAAACTGTGCATATTAAATAACACAATAAGTAGTTTTAAACTAATATTGAACACAGTACATAAAAATAAAAAATAAATTGAAAATATTTTGCCTATCATGTGGACAGATCGCTCGACACTGGTATAAGAAAATTAAAAATATTACGCTTATACTGAGAAGACAAATAATGTACTATTCATTAGGCACACGTATCAAAAACTGAACTCGATATAAATTAGGAATCATACCTGTTGCAGAGGTGAAAATCTTGGACAACTGCCTCAGTCGACGATCGCCGATGAAATAAAATTTAGACACCTTGCAATGTTGTGAGAAAAGTCTGCATTTGTTGAAATACAGACAACTTTGCTTTAGTTAGGATAGACACACACGTGCGAAATTTGTTTGATGACAGATATGATTTACTACAGATATCAAATTTTACAAAATAAATAGGACAAAATCAATTTAATATGTTATCCTAAAAAAATCTATATTTTACTTTCTACAGTATTCAAAACTTTCTAGCTAATAGGAATTAGAACAATGGACGGACTTATAAATGTAAAAATAAATAATATATATATATATATATATATATATATATAATCTGATATTGAAATATTTTTAAAACAATACGCTTTAATCATAATTCCACAAAATAACTAGTGGTGTATGGCATCGTGCCTCTAGGCAAATTGCTGGAACTTTCTTCGAAACAAAGTATTCGAGGAATATTGTGTTTAAATAAATTTGATTAATATAAATAACATTTATACATTGTCTAATATTTATAAGAATTATATAAACTGAATTACAAAGTTAAAATTATTTATTTGAAGTATATAAGTGAGTGTTAGAATTTTAACCAGAATTAAGATTAAAATCACACTTATTTAATTTTTTTTTTAAATTGAAATAAAAAAAAATTGTCAATAAAAGCAAAAAGTTTTTTGAATTACTCACATCGGGTGCTTAGTTCTCTCACAAACTATCTTCAAAATGGCTGAACCTGCCTTTGCAGAAAACTAATCACCGATCGATTTCTATTTTCTGCCCTCTTTGCTCCTGCATACCTCTGCCAAAAACTAATCAGCTTATCTCCTCATCAATAGGAATCGAATGTTTTTTGAACCAGCCAAATCGGTTGATCCATGCGCCCAAAAACGTAGACGAAATATTGCGCACACACATACACATCTATTTTTTCTGAGGTATGCCAAAATGAACCGCGGAAACGTGAAGATATGCAAAGATTTTAATTTCGATTTTTGGCCCATTACTATAACTTACAGTACGAAGAATAATAATATGTATATATCATCTGATATTAAAAGATTTTAAAACCAATATACTTTAATCATAAATCACATGCTCTCTTTATTAGTACTCGAGTATATTATATTCTTATATTCGTATTAGAGTGTCAAATTTTGTTGCCATCAAGATATTTCAAAAGCCATTAACATAAAAAACCTTCAAAAAAATTCTGAGTGAAAATTTTAATTACTACGATTGTACTATATGTTTGTTATGATATAATAATCGATTTAGAAAAAGCGAAATAGCATGATTTTTTTTTTGCTATTCAAATGTGTATGAAATATGTGATCTTACAAATGAGTGAGTCATAAAAATTATTTCAGTCATTTATTTTATAAATTATGTATTACGAACCAGAAAGCTGCATTAAAAATTGAGTGTGTATGATGAAAAAGACAAATATGCAATTTTTTCAACTATTTTATCGATATATGATCTAAGTTATGGAAGAAACGTTATGGTAAAAATTTCGCTAGCTCAAATTATATTCTTCAGCTATGGTTTTTTCAGCAAAGTTTTTTGAAAAGACCCTTAAACCAAAATTGCAAAGTGCCCTTACCTAATAAAGTTAATATGACAATTCAATTTCCTGAAGTTTGACAAGTAAAAAACTATATTATAATGTTACCAACTGTTTTTAGAGATATAAATAAATGTACCAATTCAATAAACTTTCTTTTAAATTTGTTATTCAACCTAGCAACATCAGGATGTCAGTTCCAATTTAAGGTTAATGATTTTTTACAAATATTTTTTTTTACTTTGCAATTACTATTTTAACAATGTAATAGTTAGTAAGAACAGAACTAGCTTTTTTAGTATTTGATGCTATATATTTTACAAAAAACTGAATGATATTTAGTGACATTTTACCTATCAAATTTATTTGCCAAACCTTCAGTTATATAATCGAACTGAATGCAAATTAAACACAAATTACAAATGTACCGATTCTGATGGTAAGTCACTAAATTCTTTTCACTCTTTTGCAAAATTATGGTTAATGTCTTAAGATTATGGTTGTTAATGTAAGTAATCACTTACCCTGACAATTGTGGTTCTTACTTTTCTAATAATCAGACTAATATAATAGTCGGCAAATTATCGATTTATTTAAAAAAAAATTTTATTAATCCATAATGTAAATTTCAGATTATACAAAGTGATGTGGTGCGGAACTAGTCAATGGTAAAACTTTGTCTACTGTCAAAATAATAATATATGTATACATATTATCTCTGATTATATTTATTTTATTATTAGAGTATCCATTTGTTTAAATAAACATGCAATATCAAGAATAAGATAATGATTTTCAAATTTTAAATTAATTTTTAAGTTTGTAAGTAAATTCAGTCCCCTGTATTGTCAACCTGTACAAATACATAAAATTCACCTGTGTAAGAAGCATAATTTAGTTTAATAAATATATAAAATTAAAGTTGTTTTATTAAAATACATATTGTACTTTTACAACATGTAATACAGAACTAACAACTAAAATTAGTAGACATATTCAACTAAATAAGGTGGAATCTACAAATTACTTTAGTATTTTGACGCTTCTACCAAAATTCAAATACCTTCACGATTTTTGGGTATTATTTTCAGGTTAACGCGCTATATATTTATTATTATTATTATTTTAATTTTTTTTCTCATAAATAACATAGTATTTTTTTTAAAAAAAAAAACAGTGGTTCACCTTTTATTAGTGTACTAAATTATATCTTAATTAAATTTTGGTATAATATAATTATTAATTGCTTCGATAATATACGTTATAAATCTTGGGATTGACTATACAAAAATAAACACGTTTCACAAATAATGAGGAGTAAGCATTCAAATGAAATTCCATACAAATATTAAAGATACTCCGTAGCTCAGTGATTAAAACTTTGGCCTTGCACCTGTTAAGTTTTCAGGTTCCATACAAATACGTTGACCTGATATTATCAAGAAAAATGTCCTTTATCCGTTTTTCTTCAAAATGTACATCTAAGGTATTCAAGTGAATTGTATTATTGCGTTGCTGCAACAAATTAATGTCATCAGTATAAAATAAATTAATATTATTAGTATTAATGAAAATGTATAGCATAGATAAATAAGTATAGATATATCAAACAAAAAGTTGATTATTATGATTTTTCTTTTAAAAATCATCGATCGTGTACTTAATTAAGAATGGATAAGTTCTGTTTACTGTTAAACAAAACATGTTACATTAATTAATATATTACAAGGATAGGAAGTTTAATCATGTATAAATAAATGACCGTGAATAATAACATGTTTTTTATATTCTTATTACAATTAAAATATTTGGCCTTAAATACATATTCCATATTTTTTTATATAAAGTTTAAAACTTTGCTGATTTTCAAGCAAAATGTTTTTCATACAGTGATGTTTTTTTCCAAAATGTAAACCTTAAAGATTTTCAAATGAAAATAGCCCTTGAGTTGCATTGATGCAACAAAAAAAAAATATGATCAGTACAAGATAAATTCTAATTATATAAATACATGAAACCAAAGCCCAATCTTCAAGATTTTCTTCTAAAAATCATCAATAAGGTGCTTAATAAACACATAGAAAGGAAAAGTTCTGATCACTGTTAAAAAAACATTTTACATCAATTATTATATTAAAAGGATGGAAAGTTTAATCATATATAATAAACAGTAAATGTATTAATATCTTCATTATAATAGCATTAATTGGTCTTAAAAGTACACGTTCCATATTTTTTTATATAAAACTTAAACTAAAACTTAAAATTTGCTGATTTATTGTATTAATACTGACTAGAAATAAAAGAAAATAACTTTATACTATAACAGCTGTGAAAAATGATATAATATAATTTAAAATGAAATTGAAAATTAAAAATATGTCCTGCATTCCAAATTCAAAATATCAATTGCACATTTATCTTCAGCTTTAGTCATTTTAGTAGAACTAAAATTATAAGCTATAGCATGCTAACATGCTTCATTAATTTTATTCTTACAAAATAAAATTAGGAGCATTACTTCTCTCTAAAATCCAAAAATTGTTGATTTATTTTCTTATAGACAATATTGGACACATTTTATAATAAGAAACAGTGAATTATATTTTTATTATTATGATTATTATTTTTATTATTATTTGGCCTTGAAAGTACACATTCCATAATTTTTTATTTTAAATTTAAAACCTTGCAGATTTATTGCATCAATGATGAGTAGCAATAACAAAAATCAACTTTATACGATAACAGATGTAAAAAATAATTTGATATAATTTAAAATTAAATTGAAAATTAAAAATATGTTCTATATTCCAAATATTAATTGCTTTAGTCATTTATCTTCAGCTTAAGTCATTTTAGTAAAACTAAAATTATAAGCTAAATGATTCTTAAATGCTAATATGCTTCATTAATTTTATGGTTTCCAAATAAGATAAGAAGCATTACTTTTTTAAAATTGTAATATTGATAATTTACTTTCTTATAGACAACATTGGACATTTTTTAATTAAATTTTCAAATAAGTTGCAGATTTGAATTTTCCCATAGGCTATAAGTTTATTTATAATTTCTTCAGGTGTTAGGGCCTTTTGCAAATTCTAAAAAAAAAAACTTTTGTTAGTGAATTTAAATATTAGAAATTCAAATAAGAATGCATATATAATAAATGAATAAAAAAAATAAATAATACAATAGCAATACCTGCTCGATTGTCTTCTGTTTTTCGATTATCTGAGTCAAAGTTTTCAATTCTTTTCGCAAAGATTCATTACTTAATAATAAACCATCAATAATAATTTTTGTTTTGGCTGAATTTATTTTGTTATTGTGATCTATTTCTTGAATTGATTTTTTTAAATCGGGAAAACTATAAAATAAAAGGGTGATTTAAAATAAATTACTTAATGGTGGTTACAAATACAGTTCAAGGTAATTAAAGTCAACACTAAAAAATAAACTAAATTGATCTTCAGAAGTTATATAAAGTTAAATAAAAAAAGTGTTTT